GGCAGGGGGGTTGGAACTTGATGATCTTAAGGTCCTGTCCAACCCTAACTATTCTAATATTCTATGGTACTATTTAGAAAACACACACAACCAAGACTCTGTAGCAAGCTGGGTTTTAGCATTGTCATTCATGGAAATCAACTCTACAGTGTACTGAAGAATAACTTCAGCACATATAGGTTAGAAAAAAGTGTGAAGCTGTTCATTTATTTGCCATACAGCAGGGAAAAAGTTTAGCACTTTCTTTTTCTAAAAATGAAATATGTTGGTAAAATATAAGTGCATAGTGAATATTTGATGGGCAGGTGGCCTTTCTGTTTTTGTGTTGATGCATGTAAATTCTGCTGGAGGAAAAACACACCTGAATGTCAGTGCAGATTCTGCATAGAAGCTGTGCATAACCTGTCAGGATTTATGTCACTCAAAGCACTAGTTTATAAGTATGATAGACACTTATCACGTTTTCATTATTGAAACTCCCTAGGGCAATCCCATGACACAGAAGACAGTAGACGCATCCCTTTGGCTGCAGAGGTTGGACTCCTAACACGGAATGTACAGATCAAGTCTGATGTGGCTTGCACTGGGAGGATGCTGGTGGGACGTTTTACAGACTCCAGTGGAACAGAGTTTGAAGGTAGCTGAGATCCATCTGGCCTCATTGACCAGATCAGTTCTGCACAAGAAAGTATGTTCTGGAAACAGGTGTTTTTTCAGTGATGTCCAGTGATAGGACAAGGGGCAATGAGTGTAAACTGGAGCATAGGAGGTTCCATGTGAACATCAGGAAAAACTTCTTTACTGTGAGAGTGACAAAGCACTGGAACAGGTTGCCCAGGGGGGTTGTGGAGTTTCTTACGTTGAAGATATTCAATGGCCCTCCTTGACATGTTCCTTTGTGATGTACTTTAGGTTACCCTGCTCTTGCAAGGGGGTTGGACTAGATGATCTTTTGAGGTGCCTTCCAACACTTGGGATTCTGTGATTCTGTATCCATTTTCATCTGCTATGCATTTTTAAGCATAAGTAATGAAATACATATTTTAGGTTCTGTGCATAGTTGTTTTTTACTATAGTTTTATATATATTTATAAAAAATCCCCACTGATTGCTAGCAATACACTGACAAACATTGCATGCTATTATATGCCTGAAAGCTGTTTAAATGTGTGTAATTCTTACTGGTTCTTATGTGATTTTGTAAGCTTTTATTTCACTATAGTTATTTCATTGTAGGTATCCTTCAACTCTTAAATACTGAATTTTTGAACTTTGGGCCTCCTCAGCTTTCTGCTATTGAATTCAGGAATATATCCCAAGAGTCCTCGGTGGTGTCATCCAGCATTAATGGTAGCTGCGGAGCTGGCATCAAAGCAGTTATGAGCAACTGGATCTTGTTACATGATAATATGGTGTTTAACACAGTTGGACCTGGCATCGATTTGGAAGGGCAAAATCATTCTCTTATCAGGAACCTTGTAATTCTGAGCAAGCAGCCAGAAAACTCATTAAACTGGGTTGCTGGCATCAAGACGAACCTTGCCGTTGGTGTCTCCCTCTGTGGCAATGTTGTGGCAGGATCTGAGAGAATTGGCTTCCATATCAGGGGACAAGAGTGTTTGTTGGATGGAGGGTATTGCAGTGAAAATGTGGCCCATTCAAATCTCCATGGCATTCATCTATACCAAGGAGATGGATTCCAGACATGCACTAGAATCACAGGCTTTCTATCCTATAAGAATTATGACTACGGTATCATGTTCCACCTTGGAAGCAGTGTCATCGTTGACAATATAGTGCTGGTGGACAACACTGTGGGACTCATGCCAGTAGTGTATTGTCTGTATGCCAAGCAATGCCATACAGGGAAAAGATTCATAAAACTCAGAAACTCCATCATTGTCGCAACAAGCTCAACTTTTGACTGCATCAGAGACAGGATCAAACCTCATTCAGCCAATCAAACAGCCAAGGATCGACCACCATCCTACCCTCTAAAAGGCCGTGTTGGGATTTTATGGCCTACATTCACCACCGTTCCTAGTCAAAGGCCAGATAACCCATGGCACAAAACTGGGAATTGTACAAAAGTCCTGGGACTCATGAAGCTGGAAGGTTGGTCTACTGTGTTCACTGGCCAGATTATTCTGTCACTGTTTTTCCTGACTAATTACATTTTCCAATTGAAGGTGCAGCTTCCACACCCACAAATGGGAAAGTGGGGAAATCCAAGATTCAGTGACATTTATAGCTGAATTGTTCTTCACTTTTATACAGTTCAACAACAAAAAAAGTATTATTTGTTTTTCTTTTTACTTCCTGAATCTACTGCAGTATAATTATGTCATTTGCTAATGTATTTCAATTAATGTATAAAATAATGTGTAATATTCTACCTCAAACATGCCTGCCTTCTGGGCTATTTTTCCACTTGATTCATCTCGCTCTGATCTACAGTTACCTCTAGCTAAATGAAGATACTGAGCTTGAGATGTGAATAGCATACTTTGCATAGAATTTGCGTAGAACATAATGACTACAGTTGCACAGAAACAGTTATGGCTTTTATTGTTATAAGGGATTGCACAAGAGGGATAAAAGTTAGTTATGTGTGTATTCCGCATCTTTAGTTCAATTGAATTTTATAGTCCCCAGAATAATTTTTGCACTTAATAGAACCTAGATAGGTGGTTGCTGTGGTGGGATCTAAATAACTTGCAGGTTTATTTATCCTTCACTGTTACATATTTTTTTGTAAGAAAATACATTATCCTCTTTTTACTGAAGAGTAAGGGAGACAGGAAAGACAAATAGACTTTCTCAGGGTCTCACAGAAAATTTGTGGCAAAACATGGATTTTGTAGCTTCAGAAGAGTTCAGTGACAGATCCAAGCACAGGTCACCAGCTCATGTTATATTAAGATCTGGCAAGTGGATAAACCATAATGGCAGGTTGCCATTAAGCTGGTTCTTACTAATACAGCCCTTGCTTTTGTTACTTTCTCAGTTACTATTTCCTTTGATTAAAATTCCTATTGGCATGAGCTGGTTTGTGTCAATTTAAGATATAGCTTAGCTATGCAATATTTTAAAGCTAACTGAAGATCTATGATGAATACTATTTTTTGGCTGGATGGGCACACACAAAGAGTTGTGGTCAATGGCTCAATGTTCGCTTGAGACCAGTAACCAGTGGTGTCCCTCAGGGATCGGTGTTGGGACTGGTCTTGTTTAACATCTTCATCACTGACATGGACAGTGGAATTGAGTGTGCCCTCAGCAAGTTTGCCGATGACACCAAGCTGTGTGGTTCAGTTGATACGCTGGAGGGACGGAATGCCATCCAGAGGGACCTTGACACGCTTGTGAGGTGGGCTGATGCCAACCTCATGAAGTTTAACCATGACAAGTGCAAGGTCCTACACCTGGGTCGGAGCAATCCCAGAAACAGCTACAGGTTGGACAGAGAAGAGATTCAGAGCAGCCCTGCGGAGAAGGACTTGGGGGTGCTGGTCGATGAGAAAATGAACATGAGCCAGCAGTGTGCACTTGCAGCCCAGAAAGCCAACCATATCCTGGGCTGCATCAAAAGGAGTGTGGCCAGCAGGTTGAAGGAGGTGATCCTGCCCCTTTGTTCTGCTCTCATGAGACCTCACTTGGAGTATTGTGTGCAGTTCTGGTGTCCTCAACATAAAAAGGACATGGATCTGTTGGAACAAGTCCAGAGGACGCCACGAGACTGATCAGGGGACTGGAGCACCTCTCATATGAAGGTCGGCTGAGAAAGTTGGGGCTGTTCAGCCTGGAGAAGAGAAGGCTGTGTGGAGACCTCATAGCAGCCTTCCAGTATCTGAAGGGGGCATATAGGGATGCTGGGGATAGACTCTTCCTTAGAGACTGTAGTGACAGGACAAGGGGTAATAGGTTAAAACTTAAACAGGGGAAGTTTAGATTGGATATAAGGAGGAAATTCTTTCCTGTTAGGGTAGTGAGGCACTGGAATAGGTTGTCCAGGGAAGCTGTGAATGCTCCATCCCTGGCAGTGCTCAAGGCCAGGTTGGACGAGGCCTTGGGTAATATGGTTTAGTGCAAGGTGTCCCTGCCCATGGCAGGGGGGTTAGAACTTGATGATCTTAAGGTCCTTTCCAACCCTAACTATTCTATGATTCTATTAGTCTGATTTAAAATTATTTGTGCAAAGACATACACAGGGGAGCAACTTAACTTGGAAAATGTAACAGAACAAAGCCTTTCTCTCTCTAGTTCTGGCACTCCTGTAATCATTTTCCATACTTGATCTTCTCTTAATCCCTGCAGAAGTCACCTTTACTGGTTTTACAAAGAGCTGCTACAGTGAAGACAGGGATGCCTGCATCATGTCAAGTGCTGACCATTTAGGCGTCATGCCGCTTATCACTGCAGAGACATCAAAGATGTTACATGTCAATGAGAAGGACAAGTTCTACTTTCATCCAACAAGGTAATATGCTTAATTCTGAATTATTTTTTCAATGGTTTATGCAAAAAAATCACCTACAGTTTCGGGACTATCCTAACATCTGGTTTTCATATTGTTTTAGAAAGAGTTTAAGCAATTAGTTTAGACTGGATGTCTAGCAGCAGAGCAGTCCCATTCCTTGTCTCTGCTCTTGTCTGGCAAAAATGAACAAGCTCAGACATCAAACAAACATGTACAGAAAAACATGAATTCAGACAACAAACAAACAACAAGCTCCGCACTTATTTTAGGTTTTTTTTTAATTTGTTTTTAAATTTGAGGTTCAGATTCCATCAAGGTGCATCTCCAGACTAAGACTCTTGGATTTCCTCTTTTACTGACATTTGTATAGCAAAAAACCCTCACACATCCTATTTTTTAAAACAACATCCTGAGCATCTCTGACTTGTCAGCTTCAGGCTTCAGAAAATGTCAGGACCCCCAGCAAAAAACCCTGAGACAGGGAATGTCCTTTTGGTTGGGGAACTGGAGCTTGATTTTTGCCTGCAAGATCACATCAGAAATGTTGATCAGTACCAGGCAGGCTGTGAGATGTCAAATCACTGCCAGAACTGCTCATGCCCAGAGAGAATATCATCTGTGCGGGGGGGAACATGGAGGAGGGAGGGGAGAGCTTCATCTGTTACCTTAAGTCACTACTGGTTGCAGCAGTTTAAGCATACCACATCCAATGGAAACTGCATGCCTGTTTACTTATTACAACTAGTGAACTCAATACAGAGGCTATGTCAGGAAAGCCTTGAAGTAGAAAAAAGTCCAGCAAGGACTCCACTTGCCAGTCAAAAATAATTGGAGGTGTCCCACACTGCAATGTTTAGAGCCCCTCCAGTCTTCTGCCAGGATTTTTATTTTAGTCTATATTTTTGCTTTTTGCTCTGGGCAGTAGTTTGTGTGTAGATTTCTGAGACCTGTCCAGCTTGTCAGCTCCCATTATGTTTCACTCTTGTATCCATCCCACGATATTATGCTATTAGTGAGCTGCTGAATACGCAGTCAGTTGCAAGAGCTGGTGATTTTCAAACATGATGAATACACATGAATTACTGAATGCTTTCTCAGTAGTCTGGTAAACCTCTGAGGGTCGTTACATCTCTTGGTGCTCATCACACATTATCTGCATGCATTTATTTAATCCACCTTTGCAACTTCTGGGCTTGATCCAGACTGGGCTGCATTGTTCTGCTTCAGCATCCTGAAGGGATACCTTGATGGATACGTCCTGTCAAAGGGAAGATGAGGATTGCCTTAGAGCAAGAGATAAAATAGAAACATCGGGGAATATAGCAAGACCATGAAATACTTTGCTTGTCCCATTGGTAGACCTAAACTTCTGAAATGCTGGATCTTCTGAGAGATGTTCAAGAATTGGCTGTCAGGATTAGAGGATCTATCTTTGTTCTCTACCTCTTTTGAATTGTGTCGATTTGGGGCATTAGCCCATTTGTTTCTCTACAGTAGCTGTAAATCTCCGCCTATATCTGTTTGCTGTATTCAAAATACCAATAATTGGGGTTTTCCAAGTGAAGCCCAAGAAATTCTAAGTTTTCTTCAAGATTTAAACTTGTCCATGGACTTTACTGGGTTGCAAACCGTCTTATCTCATTGTATTTTGTGATAAAAGTGATATGATCGGTTGGCGAATTCCTTTAAGCTGTGTTAAACTTTTAGTCAAAATACAGTTAAAAGTACTTGAGACCTCCAACAAGTGATTCAGATCAATAAACTTTAGTGATCCAAAAGTTAGGCAAGTAATCTAAGGACACTAAGCTTATTCTGTAGTTGACAGAGACCCTTGACTAGGAAATGATTCATTTCAATTGCCATATATATGTCTCAGGTGAGGTGAGCTGCCCTCAAGCAAATCTGTCTAACTCTTAGCATGGTCTTTCGCTTGGCTTTGTCGGGAGCCAGCTAGCATTGACCTAGTTAATGCCATAGTTTGAGAACTCAGCTCAAGAACTTTTCCAAACTGATGGTCACAGATGTGACCATCCTGTTTTGAATGCTAAGGGAATTTAGCTCTATAGATATGGACAGACTGTACAAGTTGACGTAGGAGAAGAATGGTCTCTGAAACTGTTTAATTTGGATAGATAAACCCTCTGTGGCATGACTGTAAATCTTCCTGCTTGTTCTAGGAGTCTCCAAGCCTCAATTTGTGTCTTTCCTGCTGGTTCCTTCTCTTATACTGTCTGTCATTTCACCTTGCTTCATGCTTTCTCCTGCATAAGATTAGTTGCTCATGGGAAGGTGCAATTTTCTATCCCTTTAGAGGGCTCCCCCATTCTAGAGTGCAGGGGTAAGAGCAAGGCAAACAGGTACTGCTGGGTAGCCAATGTTTTTTAACAAAATACTATGTACAAACCATTCTGTCAAAGTAAACTATCCATCACCTTGTGGATGTGAAGAGCAATGCCTGTGCCATATCAGCATGACATACTGCAGTAGAGATATTCCTGGTCACTTGGTGATATAGCAGCCAATAGACTTTTCTGCTTCAGTCAGCAACTACAGGTTTCATCTGCTACAGGTAAAAAATCAATGGCATATGGATATTGATGGAGGCATAACTGCAGTTCCTTGAATCAAGAAAGCCAAGAAGGAACTAGAGGTACTCAAACTGCTACGGTATAGCTGGCTCTAAGGACCATGACAGTCCATGCTGGCCAAGACAAACCCCAGGAAGGAGATTTGTGGATAGAAGTTATAGTGGGAAGAGATGATTTTTTCTGTCCAAATCCAGTCAACATTTGAAGAGAGATGATGTTAATTTGTTTGTCAGTTTTGGGGGTTTGGATACAAACATGACAAAATATAAATATTGCTACAGAATTTGTTTTCAGACCATGCTAGATCTCAACTGATATGCTTAAGTTTTACTTATTTTCATTTATTTTCCATTTTTTTTCTTTTCTTGGGCAGGTGAATTCACCTTGTAAATATCAACATATTGCAGAAGTGTTTGTTGCCAGCATAAATAAATTGCAAACAACGGCACAATATTTTTCCTTTACTCTCTTCATAATAACGTTACTTCTCCTACCTCTCAGTGTTCAGACCTCTGAAGATACCATGTTCCCTGAAAAAAGTTGCAGAGGCTCAAGGAAAGCCCTTTTCAAGGATTTAGATGGAAGTGTCCTGAACCTAGAACCACCCGTTGCTGTTTTCCCAAACTCAGAATTTGAATGGACACAGTTCTACTTGCAAGCTGGTAAGTGCCTGTGTTCTCTGGAGTGCTTGCAAATTCATGCATACATTTGACACATGAGATGTGATTTTACCGCAGGTTTTCACTAAGACCTACAACTGAGGTCGAGAAGAAGGTGGTCCCAGATTGTGTGGTGCTTTTCCGGGATGGGTGTAGAGAATTATAGTGTAGAAGTCTGGTAGACCTCATTGCACAGTTCAGTATTCATTAATGCCTTTCTGCCTTCCTGCAGAATCATAGAATAGTTAGGGTTAGAAAGGACCTTAAGATCATCTAGTTCCAACTCCCCTGCCATAAGTAGGGACACATCACAGTAAACCATGTCACCCAAGCCTTCATCCAACCTGACATTGAGCACTACCAGGGATGGAGCATTCACAACCTCCCTGGGCAACCCATTCCAGTGCCTCACCACCCTAACAGGAAAGAATTTCCTCCTTATATCCAATCTAAACTTCCCCTGTTTAAGTTTTAACCTGTTACCCCTTGTCCTATCACTATAGTCCCTAATGAAGAGTCCCTCCCCACCATCCCTATAGGCCCCCTTCAGATACTGGAAGGCTGCTATAAGGTCTCCACACAGCCTTCTCTTCTCCAGGCTAAACAGCCCCAACTTTCTCAGCCTATCTTCATATGGGAGGTGCTCCAGTCCCCTGATCATCCTCATGGCTCTCCTCTGGACTTGTTCCAACAGATCCATGTCCTTTTTATGTTGAGGACACCAGAACTGCACACAATACTTCAAGTGAGGTCTTGCAAGAGCAGAGTAGAGGGGCAGGATCACCTCCTTCGACCTGCTGGTCACACTCCTCTTGATGCATCCCAGTTGGCTTTCTGGCTGCAAGCGCACACTGCTGGCTCATGTTCTTTTTCTCATCGACCAGCACCCCCAAGTCCTTCTCCACAAGGATGCTCTGAATCTCTTCTCTGTCCAACCTGTAGCTGTGCCTGGGATTGCTCTGACCCAGGTGTAGGAATCATGTCACCTGGCATCATCCCAACCTTCTTTGCCTCTTTACAGTTTAATTAATTCATTTTAAGACCAGAACAGAACTTACCTGCCTTTTGCAAAGTCCTCTGAGAGCATTAAGACATGCAACATAAATGCTACATAAATGCAAAATAATAAAAATAATTGGCCCAGCAAGGATTTTCATCCATATCCCACTGAGGAGATAATCAAGCTGAAAACCCACTCCAGAAGTTTAAAGACCCCTTTCTCTGCTTTAAAAAGGCCCATTCTGCTCAGCAACCACTTTCTGAAGGTTCACACAGCAAGGCTCCTTTCTCATCCTGATTAAAACTCTGCTCTCTGATTCCAAATAAACTCTTTAATTACAATTAGCTTTTCCTGCGCCTGCTGCTGATGGTGGCCATTTTGCTGAAAAGGCGTATCGTTTGTGACTCCAGCGGTATGGGAGACTGATGGAAAGGACTATAATTAATCCCGTTTTCCATCCCGCTCTAAAACTGATTAAACACGAGAACTTCTTTAATCTTTAAACAAAATGTCTAATGTGTAAGGTTTTTCCTCTAAGGATCCCACTCTAACTGGCTGCTTACAGGGCTGATTAATGTATTGTCTAGATACAGACACACTCACTTTTACTCTACCTTTTCTCCCCTGGTTATGAATCTCATGCAAGCGCACATACCCCATCAGTATTACCACTTAGCACTTGCATATTAATGCATGCTTACTTTTGCATAAAGAGCTGGGTTTTATTTAGATCTGCACCTCTTTTAGTACGCCCTGGTACACAGTCATAGGCACGCCAGGAATCCCCACCATCTAAAGTGCACTAAGAGCGCAACCTGCACTCCGCAGTGTTTATCTCCTTGTGTAATGGAGGCAACAGCATATGGTAAATGCTGCCTGCCTCTGAGGCTATAACAAAATTGCTGTGTTTTCTTCTTGATGCCCAAATATGAATGGGGATATCTTCCCCCTCCCTTCACAAGGATGTGTTAAATTCCTCTGTATTTCGCATTTTGACCTGCAGTTCCATTCCTCTCAAGGCTGACATTTGGAAAGGCACAGCTTGATGCTAAGGTGAATTCATGGTCATCGTCTTCTATTCTCTACCTCTTCCTTCTACTTTGTGAAGGTTGTAGCACTATTTCGCACAACTCAACACAGGCTCCCATGCTAGATGAACAGGAGAAAATGCTCTACTTACCTGCTCCACAGGTCTCCCATGGGGCCAGATTCCCACTTGGTTCAACACTGTTCCAAGGTTAATGAAGATGGTGGTGTTATGATGCTATTGAGCAGAATTTCACCCTTGAAGTTCTGCTTTTGCTGAGTCCAGATGAACATTCAGTACTTAAATTATCTGGGTGGTCAAGACCCACCCACTGAGCCTCACGTCCACCTACCCACCTGATGCCTTATTCAACCTGAGTAATTCTAACTGTTTCCAGCAGCTTTGTCAGAGCACCGCAGTGCACTGTTTAGTGCTTTGACAGTCTTTTCAGGTAGCTACACAATATCCTTGCCACTTCCCCAGTTCAGGGCCACAAGTTTCTTCAAGCCAAAAGCTCTGGCTTTCCACATCCTCTTAATTGCACTTTTATCCAGATGCATATATGCATTCCCTTTAAGCTTTCAGTTGGGACAATAAGCTTGAAATTATTGGCTCTCAGCCGTTGCTAGACATCTTAGCTACTTCAAGGGGGAGCAAACGGAAACACTCATACCTCAGGGACACAAAAGTCAGGAAGATGTTTCCTCTGAAAAATGCCATAAAGAAGAGGCTGTGAGAGCCATAACTGGAGCACAAGGGATCAGTCAGTATGATCTTAATTCTCCTGATGTCTCTTACTGAAGACTAAATCAATATAGAATATATATAATAACTTATTTGTGTAGATATATTTGTGCATGCATGCAGAAAGCAAGGAAAGACCATTTGGCTTCCTGAGTTCTGCCCATTGTAGATGGCCAGTTGTGATCCATGCAATGTATATTTATTCATGTACCCACTTTTGTTTTCCTTTGTTTTTCTGTGTACCTGATCTTTCACCTGCTGTGTTAGCTCATTGGGTCATAGCCCTGGTCTTTTTACTGTGGCTTTCTCTAGAAAAAGAGTTGTTAATGTAAAACCTGTAGTTTTAGTTTTTCTGGATAAATCACAGAATTTGGAAAACAAAACAAAACTGTAGGGAACCGATCCAAGAATTTTGCTGTCATTATTTCTAGTAAAATTAAAAGGAGAAACAACAACTGTTGTTTTGAGTCAAAGCATAATTATTTTTTTAATCCAAAAATGGTTTTTCCTTTTTTTTCTTCTTTTAAACCTAATACTGCAAAATTTTAGAGTGAAGCGTTTTCCAACAACCCCCCCTAAATAATTTATGGGGTGCTTGCACAGTATCATTTTTCAAATTATCCAAAACAATTTAATGAGTTTAACATGATTTTGTAATTATTTTAATCTCTTTGAGCTGCCATTTTTGGATGACAAAATGTTTTTCTCTCTAAACTCATCTGTACACCAAACCTCCTACAAAAGAGCTTGGGGCCAGGCCTGAAGCATGAAATGGTACCATGATACAGGAAACAACAGCCTCATAAGCTGTACAGCAGAATTAGCTATAAACATGGGCGTTTCTAGCTGAGGAATGAAGGGTAAGTCAGAAGGTTGTGTGATCAGTTGATGTGTGTCCAGTTTAAAACCCCTGCTCCACAAAGGAAAGCTGATACAACCATCATGCTGTAGTTAAAATTTCAACCATTTGTTGGCTATCTGCAATATTTATAGGACTCTGTAATCATATTGCCTCATGTCTGTAATCTGACAACAGCTAGCTCCCAAAGACATTGAAGTTTATTGTCTTCCCTTGGAGGACATGTAGCAGAGGACCAGTAACTTAAGAACCTTTTTCTTCTTTTATCCTGCCTTGTAGGAGAGATACGACAATGGGGTTATAGCCAGAGAAATGGGAACTTGGGGAGGGGTATGAAGAACGGATATGGCCATCAGAAAAATCTGTCTGCTAGTATCTATACTTGCAGAGCTGGTTTTCCCCTTGTTAGAGGGGAGAATATGACTCACTTTCCAAGCAAACCCAAAATGTTGCAACTTGCTATATAGGCCTTTAATCTCAGCTGATATTTGTAGCTGAGCATTAGACTATGAGAATTACATATAGCAAGGTATGAGAGCATGAAAGCAGGCTGCTTTCCTAGGCAATATTAGATTCTTCAGGATAGGTACCTTTGCATGTTTATATTCACAAAGGCAGAGATCCAGTCCCCAGTGTGCAAATGCAGAAGTGAGTCATTCACATTTTTCTTCTTTCCCTTTAAAAATGGCTTCAAATTTGGCCAGAACAATAGTCTGCCATATATAAGTTTTAATAGTTTTAAATTCCCAGGGATGTGGATCACGGATTTTTGTACAATCTGCTTTCTTCTGGTAATTTTTATTATTGAATAAACTTAGCAATTAATAGTTGTGGAAGTGTATAATGTTGACACACAAGCTGCCAGCATGATTTAGCAGTAAGCTGTTTAAAAATGTTGCACCATATATATTTAGTATTTCAAGGACTATGATTAAGCACACCTGGTATGTATAACTGTGTAGTAATTAAAGATGATTGAGAAAAGAATGTGAGTTTGGTAGATTTGCAAGGAATAAAACAGATGCAATATTGGCATGAAACATTTATTGTTTCCCTCTGAAGTTTGTTGTTCTGTTTCTTCGCAGATAGAAATTTGCTTTTTCTGCAATAAATGTTCCATGCAAAATGGGTTGAAGGTAACAATGGAGAACATTAAAAGAATTGCTACTAAGTTATTGTTTTATAAAAGTCAAATGTAATATGATCAGAAAATGCCTGTAACTTTTTACTTAATTTTCCTGAAAGCACATCCTTGATAAAGGTTTCAGCAGACCTTAATTAAGTTGAGGCCAAAGCCAAGAACAAAGTTGGGATGATTTTTTTTGATGCCTGTCATTTTCAAAATCAAACTCTTATATTTAAAAAAATATTTTGGAAAAAAGACATAATTTTTAGAGTTTGTGAAGTCTCAGAGAGTCCATTTGTTTCCCTGTGAGTTAAAAAAATAGCTCAGAAGCCCCCAAACACCACGTCATCTTCATTTAGGAGTTTAGTTATGTATTCGATATCCACCTCTCTACCTTTCTGTATATAAATACTGCCTGCGACCTGAACATCAGCTTTTTTATCATTGACATGATGAGGTTAGTATTTCAGGGTGGTGGTTCTGAAGTTGTGATTTATAAACCATTGGTGGTACATAGAGTCTGAATAATCAATGCACACATGACTCATGGATTGATTTAGTACTCTGACAGTTAAAGGTGAAAAGAATTATTAGCCATCTGGGAAACTGGAGCTATGAAAAATGGCTGAAACTTGGGCGGCTCGGTTTTGAAGAGAAGAAATGGATGAGAGAATTAAGAACTACCTTCAAAATATGGAAAAGTCTATAGAATAAAAAATAATAGACTGAAATTTCATCAAGTTAATTTTATATTAAGGGAGGAAAGGTTACAATAAAGACAACAAAACACTGTAGCAACTTGCCTGAGTGGGTTGTAATGTCACTATCAGTAAAAGTTATGCAAACATCCTTAGCTGATCCAGATGGAGCTGGTCCTTTTCCCAAGGCGAGGGAAGGAATGGATCAAATAACTTTCTGGACCTATTTTCAAAATTCTGTAAGGATGCTCAGTGATCTGAAGGAATCTTTGAGGTCTGACAGTGATTTGTGGATTCAAAATTTTGGGTGATGCAGTAGGAAGATCTGGTAATTAGAACTTTCTAAATACTGCTGATGAAGACGAAGAGTGACTACTAAGGAGGTAATTAGTGCAGAGAGATTCTTTCCCAATCCATGCACTTGATCACTCTCAGCCAAAGTGCCTGTTCTTCTGGAATGTTTATGCCCTTGAAAGGTTGTGCAGTATGTAGAGTCTAATCCCACAGAAAGCGGTGTACAGGGTCTGAATGGAGTTTACAGCACCAAGGAACAAAAACTGAGACAGGTTCCTTGCCTAGAACCTCTCATTACAACTCAGTAGCTCAGACATCATGCCTTTTTCTCCTAAGGACTGTATCAGTCTTATTCCTGCTTCAGTGATGCCCACAAATCTGAGCCAGTAGTTGGTTTTTATACCAGATATCATCCAGAAACCTTTCTGGTACCTTTCTAAAAGAAACTGCTGATATTAATAGTCAACCCAGAAGGCTTCAGGAGAAACAGGAAAGTGAAGTTTGCAGCTGCTTCAAAAAGAGTCAGGGACAGAATACGACATACAGCCTCTCTAAGCTTGATGGCTGGTACCTTTAAGGAGGCAAGACGGCTGTGTTTATGCAATTAAAAAAAAGAAATGTGAATTGCATCCTGCAAGTATAACTATATTATTTTCCTTAGATCTTAGAGGCATATCTATAATCCAACCAAACTGCTGAGTGTTAGTTTGCAGAGCTTTACAGGAGAAGCACTGCATTTTGCAACAATTAATTTTGCAGAGGAAGCAGCCTGTTTAAAGACGCCTGCAGCAGTCACTAAAATATGTGTTGTTTTTCAAGGCCACCAGACACACAGTTGGCTAGGTTGGCTAATAAACAAAACAACAATGCAAAAACCCAGCCTCGTGGGGTTTGCAGGAAGAAGGGATGAGAAATAAAATGAATAATGCTTACCTGCTAGGGGTGGGTGAAGACTATAATTGTTTAGCCCCCAGCAGATCCCTTCAAGGGTTAAAAATGACAAAGATATTAGTTGGTGACTGCTAAGATTGTTGGTTTGAAGCTCTGGGCAAAACACAGACTGTTATTTACCGGACTTGGTCGATTTACTTCTTAATGCAATAATGACCTGTGAAATGAAACGTGAGCTAGACAATTGTTCCTCATTGTTTCCAGTAAAACATCCTTTCATACCCCATTAAACCACCATTAATTCCATTTGAAAGAGAAGCAGGCACAAACACCAAGGGATATCTCTCTCTTTTACTCTCTTTGTGGGATTGATCAAGGCCTGTGGATAGCAAAGCATCTTTCTTATCCATTTTAGAGTGTGTTGGACAGCCTGGGGCCAAGATTCTGAGTGAGCACCACAGCCATCTACTGGATTGGCACCACTGGATCACATTCCTGAGTTTTTCAGATGAGGGTATCAGCTAACCTGGCAAACATAGTTAATGTATTGATGTTGACACATCATGTTTTTCTCTCTTTCTAAAGAAAAGTTGTCTTTCCCTAAGCATGAGATTCATGTAATCATCAGTGTATGTGCATATGTATGTGTGTGCCAGTAACTTCTAACCCATTTTCACTTTCAATCAAAGCTAGTAAATGGATAAGTCCTTGAAGATAACAGACTCTTACAGGTTAAAAAAAAAAAAAAAAAAAAAAAAAAAGTGGTTTGCGAAGAAAACACTGCCCTTCCAAAGGGGGATACCCCTTGGTATCCATTTCTTGGATACCAAGAAATGCTCCCTGAAGAGAAACTCCAATTTTTTTGCCCCAACTAAAGGAAAAACTTTTGCGCACTGGTGTGCACCAGGAAATCCAGCCACTGTTCTGTAGGATAGCCCTGGTTCCACTTTGTCTGAAACTGATATCTCCAACTCTTGGTTCTCCTCTGCTATGGCATTAAGACATGTAGATGTGTCACTTAGGGACATGGTTTAGAGGCACTTAGCACTCTTAGGTTTACAGCTGGACTTGATGATCTTAACATTCTATGATTCTACATTACTGAGTAACTACAAAACCATGAAAATACAGAACTAGAACATTTAAGATGTTCAGATACTCTCTGATGATACCAGATCAAACACAAAAACCACAAGGGTTTATTTGATTTTTTTTTTTTTCCTTAATCAGAGCTCTAACTTGAGGAAGAAAGCTAGCAAGCCATGTGAATGATAAATGCTTATTTTCTTCTGAAAAATATTGGTGAATAAAAGCAGACAGAAACTGCTTTCCTCCTAGAGTTCCCTGGAAATACTTTTTTCCATGGGAAAAAAAAAAAAAAAAAGAAGGAAGTGTTAAAGGCTTAAAATATTTAATCCAAAGCAATTTTCATTTTCCTCCTTTTCTGGGGGGATGGAAGGGGTGGGTGAACACAACCTGATTTTGACCAAACCCGTTTTTCTTTCAATACCAACATAGAAAGCCAACTTCCAGAATTAATTTTCAGTTAGCTTCAACCACTGTGAATAATTCAGAAATATTTAGGACAAATTATACTGACAAAAATCTAGTAGTCTCCTATTCTATCTGATGTTATAAAAGTGGGATTATAACATTTTCTGTTCATTCATGAGATGTTGATACTGAGCAGACTGGATTTCTGAAGGTGAGAGATCTATTGATTAATAATCTCCACTATAAGGAAAAGAGGAGACACTTAGGTAGGATGTTGTGTTGGAGATGTCTGATGCTGAGAGGGTGGCTTTGGTAATGCTTGCTTCACACAACACACTGATTCTCCTTAGATCCAGTGCATTTGCATGGATTTGCACGTCAAGTGGTGTGTTACATACTGCAAGTGGTCAAGTGGTGTGTTACGCATGGCACAAAAAGAGGGGATAACTGGAGGGGACAGAAGTGGGGACAGTTTCGATGAAGCCCAGGATCTAGCACGAGAAGGTCAAAATTGCTTGACACTAAGTTAGCCTTCACATCATCAATGATCCCCAAGACCCACAACCTGACCTCTGTTCCTTCTCTACTTTTTCATTCTGCCTGACCTGTCCAAGATCCCCAGCACAAACAGGCATTTCTACCTCCACAAGTCAGGGGTCTAATGACAGGCCTCTTACCTCCACAGTCTTCCCACTCAGCAGTCACACTGCCTCTTTGCTGCCATATAACCCCACCTGAAACCTAGACCATGGAAATTAATCAATTCCTTGGCAGGTATTGCCTACCTAACAAGAGGTTATCACGGATCAGTGGCTTTTATCCACATGTACTACTGAATTTCGTGCAAGCCACAGTCTGACAGCTAGTATTGTAACATGTTACATCATCGTCCTTGGTTTTCAGTTCCTTCTACTTTTACATATATATACACATATATATATTTAATACTGTATTATTTTATGTTATTTGCTATACTTAGTTCATTTCTTTTCCTGTGCTAGATTTATGTCTGGGGTAAGATTTTGTCTGCAACTTTGCTCAGACAAGGTCCAGCTGCAAAGAACAAAATTAAGCTTTTATTTTGGTGTGTGCTAGAAAAGAAATCTCTAAACTCTAGAACCTGTGGGCTTGTAGTAAAGTATTGAAGGTTAGCTGGGAAAAAAACTCTAAGGCCAGTGAAATGCTTCTATACACAGCCCCCATGAAAATCTGCATCCAGAACTACCTATTAGAATAAACTGCAGAGACTCATTATCTTCTGATGTGCTGTGAAAGATCTAAGCTTTGGGTATCACTTGTGAAAATTTCATTGCCTGTTCCTCAATGTTTGAAACACAGACATCAAATGCTTTCCTCCTTTCTGCTGTCTTCAAAATACCTGAAAAATTGGATCCCTAAATCCCATCTTTTAGTTCACTTGCATTGCATCTGCTAATTAACAAAAGAATTCTGGGCACTTCATGACCGTTGTTGCTGCCCAAGGCGCTGTGTCTCTAGGAGGCAAACATGTGTTATGTCCTGACTTTACAGACTAGGTCAGTTAGGAGCCAAGCGATTACACAGTCATCTGTGGTGAATGGAAAAGAGACCTCAAAGATTAACCATCAACAAGTATGCCATCAACTGGAAACATGCTGGTTAGATTTTTTATTAACCAGGTTTTTTTTATTAAGGCACCTAGCCCGGTTTACTTTGTGTAGGATTGAGATATTTTTTATGCATGCCTGTGTATGTCTCAATGACTTACAAGATCAAGTCTCAAGATCACTTGATCAATCAATCAAGATCAATCACAAGATCAATCGCTTACAAGATCAAGTCTCATTTGCAAAAAAACCCCATACCCAAAAACCTTATCAAAGGGTACAGTTTTGAAAAGAGATGGAGAATGAGAAGGGCAAAAGCCCTTATCATGCACATGATGAGCAATGGTCTGGAAAAATAAGTCCTTTTTTTACCTTCCACTGTAATTCTTCCTATGTAGTAGTAGTATTCTGAATCAGAAAGAATCATGACTGTATGTTTGTGTGTCTGAAAGCATGTGTGTTTATACACGCACACGCAGGCCCTGTCCTCACAACTGTACTTGGAAGCATTTCATCATTTTTTCCCTCTTATCTTCCAAATATTAGCATCTAATGAAATACACATTTCCCTCATTTATTTTGAACCTACTCCAAGGCCAGCAAATACCAGAACCTCAAATGTTATGACAGGACAGATTCTTTATTGGTTTATTTTCTTTTCATTCTTTCTGTTTTCACTGTGATTTCTTTCCTTTTTTTTTTTTTTTTTTTTTAAGATTATAAACCCTTATGTTTTAACTCAAGGAGCCTGGCTTCCAACTGAGGTACACAAATATGTCCAAAAAATGTCCCTGAGACCCATCCAATGCAGACAGCTGTGCAGCAAACAGGAAATTGAGGAAGTCAGGTTCATCAGAGGCACAGGATTTCCTTTGTGGATGTTTCAGATGAAGCATCTTAATTTTTACCGTGCTGGTTCTGTGCTGTAAAAGAACCACGAGAAGAGCAGGGAAAATATTAGGTTGTGGGTTGCAGACAGTGATGTGAAAGCACAACTGAAAGGCAAGTTCTTATGTGGACATGGCCGTGTTGACATGACCTCTTCCAAGCAGACTCACGCTTTGTCAGTGGTTTGGGCTGGCAGGACATGAGTCAGCTCTGAACCTGAAGCCATGTCACTGAAACACATAAGGGTAGGACTTGCCAGGACAGGCACATTTCCATATTAATGTGGTTGCACTTCAAGTTGGTCATGGTCTTTCTAATTTGAACTGTGGGCAGAGCAATCTCAGGTCTAGCTGTTCAGGGCACTTTTAAGTGTCCTCCTAGTTTACAACATGCTGTGCTAGAGGTTTTACTGCTGGCAGACTTGCATCACAGGAGCCAGCAAGTTTGCCCATCAGCGTGTGAGGAGTGATTTATTGTGACAGACAGGGAAACACAGGCTGCTGCTGCAGAATCACTCAGCAGGTGTGACTGCAGAACTGCTAAAACCTTCTCTTGTGACTTTGAAGAAGTCACTTGGTTATCCTGTGAAAAGAGGCTAATTCTTTTTGCTTTCCTCCATTCACTGTTTTGTGAAGGCTCCTGACATTTCGGTGTTGGGACTAAAGAAGTGTCTATGTAGTATCTGGTATGATGTGATCCCAAACTAGTGTGAGGCTTATATGAAACACTGGCAAAAATACATACCAGTAATTAACAGTGTCTATGTGGTATTACTAAAGTAGGCAAACACTTAGATGTCTGCCTGCATGACCTTAGTTACCCTTGCTCTCTTATTTGTGCTTTTAGTTTCTTACAGTCTTGCAACACATGATCACACCAACAAGGAAGCAGTTTTGATTCATTTGGTCCAAAATAGAAGTGCTCCAGAGATGGCTCAGGGCTGTGTAGTACCACATGTTTATATAAAAAAGCTCCATCTGATCTCCTAGAGGAACTGAAACGTGTGGGATGAATAAGGACTAGAGGAGAAGAAAGGAAGGTCTTGCATCACAGGTTGTTACTGAAACCCATCTAAGTAACAGAGCAACTCTAAACAAGTCTTTTAAACTAAAGCATTTGCTTATGACTTTGTTCATGTCCCCATAGTATCTCCCCTCTTGCCTGGATCCACCCATGCCTGAGCACCGTGGTAAAAAGTGTTAGTTGCAGCAACCAAAACTTCTCTGGGAAATACAAAGTTAACCATTAAACTAATGGTTAAAGTCTATGGGTGATCGTGACCCAGTGTGTGAGATCACATGCTAACACTATTTAGTTTACTGATCTAGATGTGGGCTGGGTGATATGTGCACCAAAAATAGT